CCGAGTGCTGCTATTTCTCATGTCTTACCTGTTGGTCTCCAGAGATTAGATCTGTTTTCTTGTTTTCCAAGTCAGCTAACAAAAGGAGACACAAGGCCCAACAAAAGCCTTGATTATTAAAAGCTCACTGCTGTTTGAGCACAATGTAATTAAAATACCACGGCATGTAAAGATTTATTATTCTTGACAAGCTTACACACACTCACACAAACAAACATGTTGATAGCAGTTAGGCAAGTCATTCACAGTCCAGGCACCAGCATGGAAGGATCTCAGACTTGTGAATTGTGGCAGTTGATCTGTATGACAATGGGCTAGCAAGCCCTAGAGGAGACAGAACAGTAGGGGTAGGCAGTGACTGCCGTGTGCTGGGACTCAATGGCCCCAATCTCCCACCTCAAGCCTGTAGTCTAGACAGCCAGGGGGGATGTGGAGTCGCTGGTGAGATTTAGGTTCCTTTGCCCAGACGGTCAATCAGATGATTGTGAGTAAGGGTGACTTGTATTCGGTTTTCAGTACAAGTCACGGTTTATTTGCTACCTACCCAAAAGCATTCCTTGTTCAACCTTTCAAGAGTAAAAGTCCCCCTTTTCCAGGGCTTTATGGACAACTTCAGGGTCTCTTTCAACTGGCCTCCAGTTGAATCAACTCTAGTGCAATGGAGCAGGATAGAAGATGGAGAGAAAAACCACACATTACATCATATATTTACTTATCCAGGATAGCTGGTGAGTGACATCAAGAGTGGGACTGGGGGTGAAAGGTGAAGGATTCAGGAGTAAATGAGTCATGACCAAAACCAAAGGATTGGAATCTGGTGACAAGGTTGCCTAAAGACCAAAACTACACAGCACCTCCAAAAAGAAACCAAACACATTTGTGGTTGGACCAAAAAAATCTTAAAACTATTTTTGATTGCTGCAGACAAATTTTTAAACTAATCCCCAGAGCCTTGCCAGATGTCTTGAACAGAGCACCATAATGTTACCCAGAATACAAAGCAAGTACTTTGAGATTATTTGCTATTAATGACGACAATTAGGGGATCAGGCTTTTGGTAGCCTGCCAACTACTGTTTCAACATTTTCCCTCCTTGGAAGTGGAATTTGAGCTCAGTAAATTGCTTCCTTTTAGTAACAATGCCATAAACACCCTCCAATCCCCTCTCAACTATCTGCGCATGGTCAGCATCACCACAGTAACTGCTGGTGACATGTGCCGCTGATTGGCCTTGTTGTGCCTCCAACTACCCCACCTTAATGTGGAGGTGCAAGTCACAGAGACCAAACAGACCCTGACAGGAAAATTGACAGATTGTTCCATTTACGGTGAGTGTGGGATTTCTGTATTTCATTCAAGGCTGTGTGTGCGTGTGTGTGTGTGTGTGCGTGTGTGTGTGTGTGTGTGTGTGTGTGTGTGTGTCTGTGCGTGTGCGTGTGTGTGTGTGTCTGTGCGTGTGCGTGTGTGTGTGTGTGTGCGTGTGTGTGTGCGTGTGTGTGCGTGTGTGTGGGTGTGTGTGCGTGTGTGTGTGTGTGTGTGTTGGGTGGGTGGGTGGATGGGTGAGTTTTTGGTTTAGGGTGGGGATTAATCTCCCTAAAATGGTGGCTAAGAGAGGGTGAACTAGAGGTAAGAAAACAGACGGGAAACAACAAATGTACAAGGGTAGGGGGTGCTCTGATGACACAAGTTGCTTCAAATGAACCAAAATTTGACCATTAAAACACATTTTATTTGGGTATAATTGAAAGAATCTCCAAGTAGAAATTAGCAAAATCTTTGTCAATATAAACCTTTTTTAGACTGTACTCTTCAATAATTTTTTTTTATATGTCTAATGATTAACTTTTCAGTTACTCATTCAGTTATGTTTGATATTATCAGAGTGCTGTTTTTGCACAATAGCGTACCTTTAAATGACAATTTAAATTAAATTTCAATCTACAATTATTTTCCTTATGAACTTTAAACATCAATCATAGTTAGTTTAGATAGTTAGTTTTTCAACAGTAAATTGTACAATTTACCACTCATCAGAAAGGGGGATCAAAATCCATGTGACATGGATTTTGGTGCCAGTTGGTTTGATCTGAATACTTCAGAATGGTGTACTTGGATTTTCTTGCACAACCATCATTCTGGCTAAGAAGTAGAGAAAGTAACCCGGTAGTGAAGGTTATGCAAATAAAAAGGCCTTGCTGATGTCAGAGAGAGGAGAATGGGTAAAAGTGATGGGGATTATAGAAAGGTAAGAGATGATCAAACTGATATTACAACCATCAATGGATATTCTCCATCCCTCGGTTCAGAGGGATGGTTTAGTGGTACGTTGAAGGTGTACTTGGCCCTTTTGGACCCTTATGTACCAGTTTAGCATTGTCTAAAAGTCACAGTCTCCTTCAATAAATGACAGTAAGCCAATCTTCTGATGATAACTTCCAGCAAAAATAATGCACCACATCACAAATCTAGAATCATGTCTAATTTCTTGATCATGACAATAACTTCACATAACTCTACACTCCTCAGATCTAAATCCCGTTAAGAACTTGTGGGATTTTGTGTAACGGGGATGACATCATGGTAGTCAGCCAAATAGAAAACAATGGGCGCAAGTTCGATAGCACATTGACACATCCAAACAAGACTGAATCACATTCGAGCAACCAGAAATTGTTGCATTGTTGTGTAATGGACACTTATAGGAGCAGTTTTTGTTACATCTTCTCCAAAGCTGGAGATATATGTTGCCTCACCATGAGAAAAACAGCTGACTGAAATTCCAACCAGAATATTCAGTTAGGATTGGTTACTAATCCTGGAATTAATCTTTTACTGAACATCTAATTTACAAACTAATGTGCTTCATTTAAATATATCTAATTTCAGTGGATAAATATTCTTCTTCTACTCTGGCTGTTTGCATTTTCACTCCTTAGTCTGCGGTATTCCAACATACCTTGCCAGCCTGCAAGGAGACATCAAGCACATTCCAAGAGCCAACCCAATTACGGGCAAATGAGGGGCAGTTCTCTTTGTTGAAGAACAAAGCCAGAAGTGACACAACTGGTCTTTAAAGGAAGCTCTTCCAGCCGTGGTTCCACAGAACAAGGGAAAGGGGGGCCCAGTGGGCACGAGGGAGGCGGCCAGCTGGTTATAAATATCTATTTGGTCAGTTACTGGAAGGAAAATTTGCAGTTTGTTTGTCATCCACTCATCCAGGTGGTGGGCCTGATGGTTGCAAAACATCACAGAGCACAAGAGAGCATTGAGGCCAACCTGTCTGAGTCAACTGCCAGAGAGAAGTTCATATATAAAAGCCACATGTCATCCTTTAGTGTTAAAGGGGGCTGGGAGAAAGTTCTTGGCATAATCAGATCCATGTTTAACCTGTTGATGATCTTGCTTGCTTTACATTATGTACTACAGCAATCCAAAAAGTATGTTGAGTTGGTTGTTGAGCTTAGAATGTTAATTGTCTGGAAAAAATGTCTTGTGAACCATTGCAACAGTCAGAATCTCATCTAGATGCAGCTATGAGTGCCGCTTCTGCATGTTGCCTTTTTCAGAAGCCAAGCTTTTTTTTTTTCACAGCCACGGGTGGGGTGGGTGGGGGTGGTGGTTGTGGGGTGCGAATTTGACACTAAAAAGACAGAGTTTGGGTGGAGTAGCGCTTTAATAACGCACATTGTGCAAGTAGTTGTTGATGGCCAGAAGCGCAGAGCACTGGCCCGCGGAGGGGTGGGACGAGACCAAAGTTTAATTCCCACTCTGCAGTAAATTAGAGCACAGCGGGGTAATGTCTGTTTATTCCAAATACAGCTGCCTGGGCCTGTCTCTCTCTCTTCTTCCATCTTTCTCTCCATCTCTCCCCACAGGTCACACCACGGCCTCAGAATCACCTGGACCAGGATACACAAAATGCATATTGTTTGAATGCAAGCAATGTGCATAGATAAACGACAAGGAACAAATGCACATCCTCAGAGATGCAAACATCAACTCATTCTTATTTACAAAGATATGTACACATTTTTCAACTCATATACACTATTGCGTTGCTGACAGAAGACTAAGAAAATAAAAGTAAATACTTTCACCTTTTGAAGTGTTTATCTTGAGATAGATTTTTGTTCCATGTCAACTGAATTGTCTTCTTTTTAGACATTTTATGTATTTGTTGCTAAGCGTATCATTATTTATTTTTGTTAGATGCAATGGCTAAAATTACTTTTTCGGAAAACAAATACGCTCCTTTGAATTTGAGTTTAAAATAGACATTTGCTGACCTCTCGTGGTGAACTAAATCTTTGTCATTCCAAGGTTTAAAAATATTCAACATTATTGTGCCAAGTATATCCAACAAAATTAAAGTATTCAAAAAAGTAAGTTTGTATGTTTCCATACAATCCAATTTTGTAAGGATGCCAAAAATTTTGTCTTTTTACGTCCTTGTGTAGCTATATAAAAATAATTTGATTGTACTGCAACATCAAAGAAATGTGAATTAAAATTTGCGTTTTGATTTTGAGATAGTTTATGAAATCCCTCCAATATTCATATTGATGGAGAAATCCAAAGTTAGATTGAAAATTGCTAAACTATCTATGATAAAATTACATGAAAATATTCTCTATTAATTCCTGGACGAATTTTATTTTCTAACATAATATCTTAAACAGAACCTACTGTATATGTTTTGGGAGATTTTAAATTTTATGCAGAATATAAATGTAAAAGTTAGAAATTTAAACCATTAATCAATCAAAAAAAATCTTGAATTATTATTATGATTATTTTTAATTGATGTCAGACTAATAGTGCTACAAAAATAAGCATTTGGCGTCCTCTAGTGTGGTATGGGAACAGTGCCGTTTCGTTCACACGGGAGAAAGAAAATACAACAGGTTTGTCGTCATAGTTGCTCAATTTCGACGTACGCGTTCACGTTGTTTTGTGCGTCAGCTGATACGTTGCGCGCGCGCGCTCGCGCTACAGTTCTGTTTCTATGCGAGATTTGTTTTCAAATGGAGGAGTCTTTGATATTCCGATGGGACCAGGGACACTCAAAGTACGGCGGCTGCAGCGATAAGCTGGGCCGAAGCGATTCGGTGTCATCTGCGAGGTTTGAATCAAGTTTACGCTGCGAGGGGTAAACAGAGACACTACAGTTTTTTTGTGTTTTATCGGCGCAGGGTAGTTTTCTAACCGGTTTCATTAGCTTGACGAGCTAGCATACATGCCAACAGCTGTGGGGCGCTAACGGGGATGCGTTGGAAGGTGTTGCGGAGGGGTTTTATTTAGGTTTGTTTGCACTGCTTTGTAACATGGACTCTGGTGGTAGTTGTAGTCTGGCAGCGTTAGCTTGTCTAAGGTGAAGTGCCTGCTCAAATAGTTATGAGCGGTTTCAATCAAAACCTCCGCATAAGCTCGTCTTTCAGCGCAGACAGTAAAGGTCCAGCGGTCAGCCCTGACACCGGGAACAAGGACTGGGCTCTGGGAAGCGATGTGTTTCCCTGCTGTCACGAGATGAGCCTCGTGGACGAATCGATGCAGGCGGGGATGTCGTCGGTCCAACCGGGACTGGACGGTCACCTGCCGCTAATACGTGCCCAGAACAACGGCTCCCAGGATGGCATTTTTTTCGAGCTGGACTCCCCGGAAGACTACCTGGACAGCAGCCCGTTAGAGTACAGGGACAGCGATGGGAACGGCGTTGGCCCGTTATTCGAGAGGAGGAAGAGGTCTCGCTCCAACAGCTCCAGACACAGGTTTAACGAGGTGGTGACGGAGCTAGTCCCGGAGGAGGTTCGGTGGTTCTACAAAGAAGACAAGAAAACATGGAAGCCTTTCGTCGGACACGACTCTCTTAAAATTGAGCTAATGTTTCGGAAATACTGCGAGCTGAACCCCGGTGCGATGCGCTCCGGGGTCGGCGATGGAGAGGAGGAGACTGGCGGTAAATGTGTGGACAGCCCGGGGCAGAACGGCGCAGTGCCCGTGGACACTGGCACTGGCAGCGTGGACGAAGGCCGCGGCTCTCTTGACACGTCCACGGTGTCTTTTGATGGGACCGACACGGACGGCACTGAAATCAACGTAGAACCCGTGTGTGTTCGGGGAGGCCTTTATGAGGTCGATATAAAAGAGAGAAAATGCTACCCTGTCTACTGGAAGCGTGAGTATATTCCCTCTCCTCCATCTCTCACACAAAATCGATCGAGCTAATGTTTGGGTCCACTATGAATTCTATCATATCATTCATCACCGATCTGTGTTACGTCCATTCATATCATATATAATTAATAGTCTGCAGTATAATGCCAGAATACTGATTATTGGACCACAGTCAATGATCAGTTGCCATCAGGGGCGCCGTTTAGGGGACCTGGGGGGAGTTAGGACAATTGTGATGGTCCCTGACCAATAGGAGCACTATATATATATATATATATATATATATATATGTATGTGTGTGTGTGTGTATATATATATATATATATATATATATATATATATATATATATATATATATATATATATATATATATGTTTGTGTGTATATGCACAGAGGTTAAATGCAAGATCAAAGAAGCAAACATTCATATTTATCTGCATAACATGGTTTGTCCCTGCTTTTGCGCACTAGACAGTGATAGTGTTTAGTAATCAGTAGAACAAAGGTGATAATAACTATGCTGCCAAGACTAAACTCAGGTTTTCGAAAAGAAGAAAGACAAAAGAGAAGGCGTCAATTTGTAACCCTGTTTTTCTCCAAGAAAGGTGGGTAGACTACAGTGTGTGATTATCAGTCATTTTAGCTTACTTAGCTTAGCTACAGACTACCTTGTCTCCGTTTCACCAATATTTAATCAAGGAAGGGAAATATTTACCAATAAATCTTTAAATTTAACTTGTCCCTGTACCTTTTACCACACTTAACAACAGATCTGTCAGAGTCAGCAGCAGCCATAACCCCCCATACCAGCATAACTTCTCCTCCCTGTCCCAGTGAAGAAGGTGAGCAACACTGTTCAGTGATACGACAGGTAGCATCAATGCAGGGAATTTATGTCTTTCTTGCTCTTTTTACAAATACACAAAAAACTGAAATGTTTATTACTGAGAGAATTTTAAACAACTACAATAAAATGGTAATAAAAACAGCTTCCTGTCTGGACTGGAGGCTGGGCCTGAAGACAGGCTTTGCAGTCTTGTCATGTTGTCAAGACGAGAATGGAATGGAAGCCTTTTATCGGACACAATCTTGTTAGTCATTTTAAGTCCTCTTTTAATCTTGCTTCAAATTGTTACTTGTATATTGTCATATGTTTAATTTACTATTAGTAAATCTGCTATTACCAGTATTGGACCAATGGAAGCAAGACTTTAAAGTTGGTTATCTAAAGCTTTTAATTGGTCAGAAAGACTCAAGAGATGGTGGTAAGAGCTGCTAGAGGGTTGGGGGTGTCAATTTCATATTTTGTCACGGTGCGCAAAATTCCTGGCGGCGCCCCTGGTTGCCATTCCTGATATTGCATTCATTCTGTTACAGTTTATGTTTGAAATTCAACTGTGACCATTGGTTGGTAAAAACAATTGCTGGGCCGTTTTTAAATTCCAAGAACCCAATTAGTACTTCTGAACTGTAGGGTTATACTAATCAATTAGCCACAAATTGGAATTTGTCAATTTCCCCATCAGCAGTAGGTCAAAAATACAATTAGATATTTACTAGCCATTTCATTAAATCCTCTCAATAAAGAACTCCAAAGCCTATAAATATGTCAACCACTGATGTTCTTTTTTGTGGAATGAAAATTAGGTAAATGTTGCACTATCTGCTGGGGAACATCCAGTTTGACATTCATCTATATTTTTAAGTTACCCTAAGAAAATATATAGGTGGATGGTACTGGGTGTTTCCACACAAAGACTCCACCCATTTTTATCTTGTAAGTGAGGGAAAAGTGTAGTTCCCTTATTTCAGTCAGCTGACAACCAGTAAGGAGCAAAAGGAGAAGGAAGGATGGATGCACAAGCATTTATTGTATATCAGACTTTATTACACATGATGAAATAGTTGAGACTTTAAAGGTTCTCTAAGCTTATATTCTCTAAACTGTCGTAAACTGACTCAACTGATGACCTAATATTATCTCTCGAGCCTTTATCTCAGTGTGTGTTTGCTTTAGATCTAAGTAAGACATAAAAAAAAAGATGCATTTCAATATCATTGGTTTCATTTTGCAAAAAGGTTCTGTTGCTTTTGGAGTGTCGCTAATATAGGCTCAGCGAGTTCGCTCTAATTCTCCTCTTGGGATTCAAGTCAGAATGGTGTTCATAATTTGACTGACCTCGCTTGGTTAAACACCGAGGTTTGGTCCTCCTGGATTTGACTGACTTATTTAATTAAATGGAAATCAGTTTGTCGTACGTCATCTAGGGTGCCACGGGAAAATGAGTCAGTTCCTAGAAAAAGATTTATTGAAATAGCATCAATTCACAACAGTCATGGTAAGAAAAAATAGCTTTTTTTATTTTAGAGAAATGGGTCCACTTCATACATAATTATAGTATGGTGAATCCAATATAGAACACATTAATTTATTGCCTGTCATATAGTCAAGTTAACATCTATTGTACACAGACCTATTTAACACAAATCATAATGTAGGATAATCAGTCATTTGAACATTTAATGCCAGTTGGTAAAAACTTTTATGATATAAATAGAAACTGTAAAAAAAAGCTTCAAATGTCTAACTATACGGATCATTGCTATGAAAGTCTATGTAACTAAATCAGAGGTGTGTCTGCTTTAGAACAAGACCATATTCCTGTGATGAGAGGCCAGTGGTTCATCGATGGCAGCTGGCTCCCACTGGAGGAAGAAGAGAGCGACCTTATAGAGCAGGAGCACCTGAACCATTTCCGAGGCCAACATTTGCAGGACACCTTTGAGACGGATCTGGTGGTGAAGACTGTTGATAGCAAAGATGGTGAGTGCTGGGAAGGTAGATAACTGTTTACAAGTTTATCCTTCAAAGCGTCAGACAGCACTGATGTGTTAATTCTTGTTGCTAATTTCTTTGTAAACGCAGTTAATAGCGTTCTAATGACAAAAAGTTGTGCTTTACATTTTGCTGAGTATCGAAACAAAGGTCAAGTTACTGATTAATAATGAAATATGTATGAGAATTAGAAATGAACTTGGCAGGTGTGTCCATTGTTTTCTTTTATGCTGTCACGCCATGGAGTAAAGCAGGAACTCCATGTACATTTTGGTATGAGCCTCTTTGATGAGCTGGCTCGAGCAAAATGTCACACACTGTGGCTTTGGATAGCAGTAAGAAAGAGGTTGTTTGATTCAGAACTCTCCCTAAAGTGGGCAGATTGATGAATGTCTGGTAGTGTGAACTGGATACTGAAGTACTGCAAAAGAATGAGATTGAGTATATAGAAAAAGGAGAAACTTGTGTTAGACCAAAGCGGCATAATCTCCAGAGATCCTAACAACACACCCTAGCATAATCAATAAAATTTACCCCTTATAAATCTGAAAGTCATTGCACAATAATTTTTTCAGAGAATTTGGTTAAGAAAGTGAAACACTTTACTAAAGGTCAGCAGTGTTTAGGCCATAAGGCCAGTTTAAAATTATGTTAGTATTTCTGTATTATTTATTTGTTATTTTCTGAGAAACAGAATTTAAACTTTAGTCCATAAAGTTTAGAATATCACAGAAATATATTCCTATATGTAATGAAACTTCATTTGAGAAGTTTTGAATTGATTTGTTTAGACTTCAAAAGAGCAGATTTTTTTTCCTTGTAAGCTTATGTGTCTTAATTAATTATTTATTTATCCTGAGTTTATTCTTACTCAGAATAAGGTGATTGTATCTCACTAAAAATAAAAAGTTGTAAGTTGTGTTACAATTGCTGGTATTTTCAGACACTTTTTGAATAGAAAAATGAATCAGTCATTTAGAAAAAAAAACTTGTTGGGTTCATTCATGCATATAGAGAGTAACTACATAAATGCTGGACATATTAATGACAGCAGGTTACAGAAGGATTACACCTTAAGTGTAAGCTGTGTGAAATCTAATATACAGGCTTTCCATTTTATTTTCTAACATCTTTCGAAGATTCACTCAAGAACACACGCACTCACACACACAGTTTCAGTGTGTTGTGGATGAGCTGAACTCCTGCTGAACAGAATAAGCCAAAGCAATGCTTGCTCCTAATTTTCATAGTTCTACCTAATGGAAAACAATATTGGTGACTGCAGAGTACATCCCTCCCCACCACCTCCTTTGTACCTTGTTTTCCACCTCTATATTTAGCTGAGCCTGAAAGCAAAGTGAATGATAGATCTTGTTAATTCACTGTCTTTGAGCTAATGTTGCATTCTGCCTCCTGCAGAAGAATATTTTGCCCTGACACTAGTAATCTGTAGCACTCAGAGCCATATGGAGGCTATTTTAAACTGCATTACATCTAGTACAAGGATTTTCTAAGTGCACTAATACATTACAGATTTGCAGTACAGTATTATGCAGTAGTTAGTAGTTGAAACAGAAGACTTGGTTGGCTTTGAACTGCATCCAGATGCAGAGCATTTCAGTCCTGTTTTAAATGATCAACTTAAGATAAGTAATCCAAAATGTAAATAAATCCCCAATCAGTGAATATAGTACCTGGTCAGATTCTAGTTGTTGGTCTTCTTCAACATTATTTTCCACTATTTGAAGTGAACAAAGCTTAAATAGTGAATTTGTGATGTTTCGTGGTAAGGTTCATCTGTGGTTTCCACCCATTACCTTGGCTGTGCAGAGTACTAAGCAGGTTCTAGAGACAATAGGGTGTGGACTCATCTTTCAGGCTTGAAAGACGTCAGGAAAAATTATATCCAGCAGGCCAGCCATGTCGCCAGATTTGTTTTCTGAATGTTTTTGATGAGGGCAAGAACCAGTAGTTATTTCCATATAACCTGCTTTCTTATTTCAGAAGATTGTGAGCCTATGATTACGCATAATTATTGACAAAAAAGATACTTGAAAGAACTTAAAGAAAAGAGAATGCACGGGAGCACTTTATCAGAAGTCATTCTATATCCAAAAGATATCTTAAATTGTTCATCAACTGTCTGCATACCTCTTGGGCTTAATAAATATTAAAGATCCAAATCCACTTGCTACTTTCATAATTCTTCAGGAATCAAAAGACCCAAGGCCAGCTGCACACTGTGATATGCTGCACAAAACACAGCATAATGAGTTCATTTTGACCTTTGTAAGCCTTGATAGATATCCCAGGCATTACAGAGCACTTATTTTCAAAAGCTTCATCAGTGCTGTACCGATCGCTTTTACAGCAATCACACTTACTGTGTGCCTCAGCATTTCTGCCCTTCCTCCTCTGCCGTTCACCTCAGCTGAAACAACCACAGCCAATATTTGCAAGTCTGATTGCTTCGTTATCATGGATCAAATGAGCCAGTCAAATCTGAGATTGTGGATTTTGCAGTTCACATTCAAAATATCTTCATGCTCTTTGTTTATGATATAATAAATGTAAATGTCCTGGTCGGTCTGGTTTTCTTTTTTTATTTTAACCTCATAGTATTTAAATAAAGACACACATTTAGATCTCTTTTCCTTTTATAAGTGGATAGATAAAATGCTGCAAATCTAAACTCCTATATTAAAACAACTTGTTCAGAAGTCACAGAGTACAGCTCCTGAACATTTTTGAGCTTCATGATAATTTCTTGTTTATGTTGTTAGACATTTTTATTGTAATGTTCCTGCTAGTTTAAACATTTGAGAAAAAGTCTTGTATTTATAACCACATTAGTAAAATAGGTTTAAAATAAAACGTATACATTATTCATTTATTAATGTGATTAATTACACATGTCAAAAAACAAATGGGTCTTTCTTATAGTGCCCTTCATGGTCATCAGGATCAATTAGCCTAAACTCCTATTATATGCCTCTTTACCTATTTTACCCTCAAATTTTAGGCACTAGCTACAGGGTTTTGGGCAATAAATCATTTCCCTTGAACATTCCAATATATTTAAGTTGAAGCCACCAACTTCAGTGGAGTTTATTTGGTAAACCAACATAAAGTAGTGCATAATTGTGAAGCTCCATGTTTTGTCAGTGTTCTGTTTGAAGGTGAACCCCAGACTCAAGTTTTTCTTTCAGGTCTGCCCTATTTTTATCGGATCCATCTTACTGAAACCAGCTTTCCAGGCCCAAAGCATGATGGCACTAGATTTTATTTAGCACCATTAATGTAAAGAGACCCAAATACAAATGCTTGGGACACTTTTTAGATAATAAAAAATAAATCTGAAATCTTTGTGTTGGTCTATCGCATAAAAAACATTCAAGTATGTTGCTGTAATGTGATGAACTGTGATCTAGTTCAAGGGTAATGAATGCTTTTACAAGGCACTTTATTTTCTGAAGTTGACATGTTCTTAAAATAAGCAATCTTCATTGGACTAATAAGTTAACTTTAGTGTCTTTTGATAAGTTGCCATGTTTAAGATGAATGACTAATGAAGTCTTATGTGACCTGAACCGGGCAATGAACGCTACTCACTGTTTGTTGGTTGTTAGTTCTCTCCCACCTGCCCCCTTTCTATCTCCCGTTTCTGTTCAAATGGAGTGGATATCAGACGGGTGCTAAAACTGCAGGTCACAAGCGCAAACGCTGCCAAGGTACTGTGAAATCCTATGTTTTCTGTTGTGTTAGCTCCTTTAGCTTTTTACCCCTCATCCTTTAGATGCTAGGCCTCTGTTGGACTAGTTTTTCCTTTCTTTTGTGGGTTAAACCTTTTGAAGCCTTACATTTGGAACTAGACCTAGGCTCAGTTAGATGTGGTTGTCGTCAAACTGAATTTAGTCCGTTATCTTGGTTTACATTGCAGCTTTAACTGAGCCTAGTTGCTAGGACTCACTTTGTAGTGCTGTGGTCTAGAGTTTGGTTCTACTGCTATTGCTGCTTTTTGGGAAATCCTGTGTGCTTCCTTGCTGGAATAGTAACTACACAACATGGATCACTCAACTACAATTGCAAGACTCTTTAAGAACTGCATCAGAAATTAAAAATGACTCAAAATGTCTCAACACAGTTTTTTTTTTGTTGTTTTTTTATTCCCAACCTCTTTTTCTCATTCTTTTTGACACTATTACTGTATTTTTACTCTACCAGCAACACCAGCTCAATAAAGCCTTCTGAACAACGCTTTCTATTGAGAGTTGAGCACAACACATAAGCTGGAACAAAAAGTCATTGTTGTAGGCTTTCGGTGATACAGTGCTAGCATGCTGTGTACGTTCATTCTGAAGTCTGTTAATGTCTTGTTTCTGGGTTCACAGAGGAGAGACATCTCTGTGTTTGTTTCCTCATCTCATAGGAGGATAAAATAGCTGTTGATCCGAAGCCCAATGGGAAAGTCAGCAGCCCTAAAAGACACATGGTTTTTGAAGATAACAAACTCACTTTCAACATTAACTTCAATGTCACAATATATGGTTTAGGGCCAAATTTGATGATAGTTTTGGCAGGCTCTCTTTGCCTCTTGTATTCACCTTTATTACTTCCCAGCTTGGAGCTTACTTTATATTATCTGGTTTTTACGTCACAAAATCTCTTTTCTCTTTTTGACTGCAAAGGTTATGGGGCCCCTTTAAACCTTTCTTACATTTCTGCTCTCTATTTTCTATTTTATTTACAGGCACATCTCAGTAAATAAGAATGTCATTGAAATGTTTTAAGTAATTCAATTAAAAAAAAAAGTAACATAATAAAAAATATGCATTGCATGCAGGGTAAGATATTTCAAACATTTCTGTTCATTTTGATAATTAAATTAATCTTTTGATATTTTAATTTATTGAGATGCATCTCTGAAACAACCTTCAGCTCTCACCTCTGCTCGACCAAAACATAAGGGTCAACAAGTTGACTATAAAGAGATCTTTTTGTCCTTCCCCGGCTATTTACAAAGTAGAACGACCTTTGACACATCCTTCCAGCAGACACACAACAAAAGGCAATCACAAAACTCTTCTCCATCAAATACTAACAGCTACCCCTTACTGTTGCTGTCCAAGAGTAGTTGAGTGCTCTGCCATGTTGTGAGAAATAGCGATTACATTTCTTTTGCTGTGGAGTGATTTCATTTGATTATCTACAAAGAGATGTGGTGACAGAACGAAACTTCTGTTGCAGAAGTTGTAGTTTTGTATGACGCAGTGTCAGAAAGTGATGGCCACTATATTTGTTTAACTTGTTCTCATCTCTGAGGCATTAACTCATCTCCATGCAAGAGGCACTGACAGATAAGTTAAAAGTCATGGTTCAGGACATGTATTGGGCAGAAAACCATTAGCCGCATGGGAAACATGAAAGTTTTCTTGTTTCATTAATTGATACGAATGGGACAAATTGTGGAGTTTCTTGATAGGGAACTTATTTTTCCTACAAATCTGTGCTTGACCAAAAGAAACAACAGTTTTCCTCTGTGGGAAAGTATTGTTCTGAATTTCCAGCAATAAAACTAATCCAGAACATCTCATTTTCCCAGGAACTTTACCGGCTTCTTAAGGATTTAAATTCCTTGTTTGTTTCAGAATAGTACAAAGGCTCCATGGTTACGTTTTGGACAAATGCCAGTGTATTCAACAATTTCAGCCAAATAAACTTGACTGAACAGGAACATGCAGCACAGCTTTGACTCTTTAGTCCACTACTTTCATTTATTGGTCCTTTGTAGGTATCAACTGGTTTTTCTCAAGCCATAATTTTGCTCTTACTTGCTTTAGTACTTGCTTACCACTGAATAAGAAACAGAAAAAAAATGGAGGACAGACATATATTTAAGTTTAGAAAATATCAATTGGCAATTGGAAGATGCAAAGCAGGACGACAAGCAAGAGCTGAAGTATGCGATCATGCTGAGATTTTTCTTTTCTTTAAGCAGATCAAAGCGACAGGCAGCTTTTGATTGAGCTGTTTGAAAATAGTTTGTGGACTTTTGTGTCCTTGCTACGTAAAATAACAAACTGGGTGCAAATCTTTTTTACTTACATTTCTCAGAAGTATGTATTATTCCTAAACCCTAAAATGAAAACCTCTTTATATTTAGCTTCTCTTGTTTTCTGTTTCTCTCATTTCTCCGTCAAAAAATGATTTATGCTCCGTCTCAATGTCTTCTGTCTCCCTGACTTCAATCAATTACTTTTCTCTCACTGCTGCAGCTATCCACCATTTGAAGCTGAGTCGGACGCATGTAGATTGGCACAGCGTAGAAGAAGTCTACCTTTATAGCGACGCTACCACATCAAAAATTGCTCGCACTGTTACACAGAAGCTGGGCTTCTCCAAAGGTCTGTATTACTTACATCACACTTTATCATATGAGATGGACAAAGCAATGCATTTGTGTTTTATTTACAAACTAGTTAACATAGAAGGTTAAAAGAAAGCAGAATTATCTAGTGATGTCCACATTGTGTTTTGGTCTTAAATCACAAATAAAATACATTGAAGATTGTGGTTGCAGGAAAAAAAGGGAGTACATTAAGTTCAATTTCACATCTGACCTTCGTCAGTGTATATGAAGATGATCTGGTGCACATTACAATAACTCCATGATTAATTTTTCTCTCTATGCTATTTTCTGGAGCTTTGACTGGTTACCTCAATGTTCCCTGGTTACCCAACACTCTGCGAACTGATCTGTCTTTAGAGCAAGTCCAACGGTTCGGCTCCTATCACGTTTCCGTTTAGCACACAACTTGATCAGATTATAGGTTTTAAGTAAAGACACACAGTCTGACCTGCCAGTACTTTACACATGCTCCCACGCGGTCTGTGGCCACAGCCGGAGACCATGTCTCGTCTACTGACCTCCTTGGAATCAGTACAGCATGTTGGACTATTGATAGTCTTCCTTTTTGTTTCTGCCAGAGTTGTACACTCAATATCAAACTTAAGTTTCTTATTGGTTTGAGAAGTGACAATGAAAATCTGAATTTCTGTTGATGCAGCCTCAAGCAGCGGCACACGACTCCATCGAGGTTACGTAGAGGAGGCCTCTCCTGAGGACCGGCCCCCTCAGACTACCCACGTTGTCTTTGTGGTGCACGGGATTGGCCAGAAGATGGACCAGGGCCGCATTATCAAAAACACTGGAATGTGAGTTGTGTGTTTTATTACGGTTACTGTAAATGGAGATGTCCTCCACAGCCTGCTTTTTAGCTGCATTTTCATTTGTAAAATCTCAAGTTGAGCTTTAGTTTTAGATTTCTGTTCAGCATACTTTTATGCAAGCACACTATAAGGTGGAATGAAGCTTTTGTATTGGCTCGAAGTGCTTTTTTTTTCAGTTTCTATTTTAAGATGCCAACTTTACTCACCTTCTTGCATTGGTCACATTTTTTTCTTTTTATCACATACAGAAATGATGACGTCATCTTACACCAAAGGGTTTTGCATTGTATGCTGGCTTTATGTGATGATTGCTTGGTCTTTTGTCCAAACCTGTTGAACATGAGTTTTATGTTCTCCTGAGATCAACCTGTTAGGCTGCTTTTTGCTTTTCTAGGAAATGTTTCTTTTTTTTACATTTGCTTATGTAGGAACTTGCCATTAAGATTAAGAATCTGTTTTTCAAGAAAGAGAATAAAAGTTTTTTACGATGGAATATAATGTTTCATGACCAGTGATCTATGTTTCATAAGATATAAATCCATCCTTTCTGGTTGTGATAACCTTAAGTTTAGTGTTCTTAAGAATTGTTCTAGTTCCAGACACAGATTCGATAAGAAGGATTTTAATCTGCTCACATAAGAGGATGTCCAGGCAAATAAAACATTCTAACAATCTAAAAAATGTTGCCATGTTCCAGAAATGTCAGAAATGTTTTTTTTTATTTTTTTATCAAAGGCCATTTGCAGTTTAAACAATAGTGTTGCAGCTGCAGATTGTGCTTTGTCCTCGTGCTTCTCTCTTTTTTTCACATTTGTCTTCTGTTCCTGGAAAGCTGACTCCATGCTTTGTTTTGGGAACATGCAAACTATAGTAGCCCAGAAAGTACAATGTACCCAAAATCTCCTAAAAATAAAATGTTATATAGGACAACTCATAGAGTAAGGTATTATTCATGCCAATAGACATGGACGGGTGCAAGATAGTCATGGTGATGTTTTAAAGTAAAGATGATGCAATATCCTGGCATTACAACAATTATTTAAAACAAACATATTAAATGTGATCTAATTGATTTTTTTTTTTAACTGAAGCAACAGCTACACCTACTGTTAAAATTATTTAACACATTTACTACAAGTATAAGAAATTTGTTTATAATATGCATTCATTCTTATTTTGACTCAAACTAAAATCTAATTTATAATAAACCACTCATTTATTTAGTAGCATTTTTGTAAGTATTGCTCTAAAATCTGCTTATTTAGCAGAATTGTATAACTTTATGCCTTAATGCTGACTTTATAGTTTATTTTCTGGTTAACTAGATGGACTATCTCCTGGTGCTGGTGTTTAAAACAGATTTAAACAGTGATTGTTTACTTATTTCACAGCAAGTAAGCAAAAAAAAAAATCATCTTTTAGCAGTCTGGCTGGCAGTATGCAGAAATAAGCAGGGACAGGAAACTTCTACGTATTTATTTTACTTACAAGAAAGACAAATTTTAAAGCTTTTGGGCTTGTGTTTTCAAATCCTAATTTTTTATTTTTCACATCGGTTTACTTGACTACTGCCTTCATGTCATATCTCGTATTTAACCTATTCTTATATAAACATGACGCGACATTCCACGGTTCCCCAAAGTTTACACTTACTCATTGATTCTGCTCACACCGTCTCAGTAACCCAAGTAGACCAAGTCAAGCTGCAGAGCATGTTAAGCCTACCTCCTGTGGATTACATTACACACACCTTCCACTGCCAAAGAACAGATCTGCCAACTCAGTGTGCTACTTTTGATTTGACTCTTTATTACTTTTTGTATCATTTCAACACTGTGCCTGATAGTTTTTTGGGTTTTTTTTGTCATCAACTAAATGGAGTTTTAGTAGAGTTTTTGACAATAGTGTTTGTGTTGACAATTGTAGTGTGCACACCACATTTAAATCAGTAATCTCGTTCCCTAAACCCGGGTCATGTAAGTTCCCGTGCAGACAGGCATGTGACATGTGGGTTCCTCTCCATAAAGAGCAACATTCTACATTTATCCAGCTACCGCACTACTTCAATTAGAAATGGGAAGAGATAAAATGGGGTTCAGTGTCAATCACCACTGACTTACCTTGGTGATATTTTCATGCACACAAACAGTTTTTCTTATGTCAGACTTTTGTCGATACAGCTGCTCATCACTGTTATTATTCACTTTTTTTCATTATGTTCCTTAAGGTTGAGGGAAGGTGTGAGAAAAATGGAAGAGAAGCACTTTTCTGAGCACAACGATGAACACGTAGAGTTTCTCCCTGTCGAATGGCGCTCTAAACTAGCGCTGGATGGAGGTATGTGAGGATTACGTTGTGGTTTCACCATTGATAACCTCAAGTGTGTTCTGGGTTATACATACATGGCATGTTTCCATAGATACGGTTGACTCCATCACACCAGACAAAGTGCGAGGGCTGCGAGACCTTCTCAACAGCAGTGCCATGGACATCATGTACTACAACAGTCCTCTTTATCGCGACGAAGTGAGAATCATACAGTTTCAGATTATAAAAAGTGTCTATTGTAGACTCTTTTTTTGTCCTTAAGATAACTTCGTCCCTTCTCTTCCCTTGACTCCAGATAACCAAGGGCCTCACGGAGGAGCTGAACAGACTGTACTCGCTCTTCTGCACGCGGAACCCTGATTTTGAAGACCGGGGTGGAAAAGTGTCTATTGTGTCTCACTCCCTTGGCTGTGTCATCACCTATGACATTATGACAGGATGGGATCCAGTACGGTTCTGTCTGCAGGAGCATTGCGCAGTAGAGGAGGAGCAGGATTTCCGCTGGATGTCTTATGAAGAGAGGCAGCTTTTAGAGGAGCTGAGGCTCACAAAGAATAGGTGGGATATTAAATATACAGAGCAGTGACTCGAAGGGAGAGGATATATTGCTGCCTAAGGATGCGGAAAGGTCAGGGAATAATACCTCTGTTTATTGTGTGGTGTGGTGCAAAATCTTGTTTTTGCCAGGTTAAGAGAGTTGGAAAATCAACTGGTCAAATTGGAGGCCTCTAATCCTTCAGCTCCCCCAGCTCTTAAATTCAAGGTAAGATTGTATGGACTCTTGTATTTTGCAATTGTAGTCAGAAGTTCACATATACTCATCATGACTATGAACGTTTTTAAACATTTTTTTAAGGGTGGTAGTGTGCTACTATATATTTCAGGAAGCAAAACTGACACTCAAGTTAGATTTTATCTTGCTGACCTAGACTCCTTCCACTTACAAGCCAAAATATAAACTTATATTATAGTACTGATAGAATGATATCATTATACCCTTGGAAAAATGAAAATCATAGATATAAATTAAGGACATTTCTGTAGTCGAATGTATGTAATGTCTTAATTTGGTGAAATATCCTCCCCATGCCCCAGTGTATATCTTTCCAGAGCAAACAGGAATGATGTCTGCCTGTGTAGAGGATGAAGTCTTATTTAACAATAGCCATGGTAGCATCATCTGGAGGCAAAACATGTTTTTCTCTAGTTTATAACTCTTGAAACTCAAAGGCTCGTCTCCCAGGTGTAGCATTTACGGCATGCCGGGTGTGGTGGTCGTATATTTTCTTGCTTAACAGGAATCATCCTATAGTTCCAAAGAAACCGGTGGGTGAATCCTGGCTCAGGGTTTTGTCACATTTGTAGCCAGAAAGACAACAATGCTGTAAAACAAGAACGGCTTAATGTAAAATGAAAACTGGTTGCAGTTCGATGAGCAATGAAAAATATGCCAATGCATTAAGGAAAAAATTAACTCATCTCACATTGTTGTTTATAACAATGAACAAGTTCTGTTTAGGTACATTTTTTCACCTTTTGTCTCACAGGTAGAAAACTTTTTCTGCATGGGGTCTCCTCTAGCAGTTTTCTTGGCCCTGCGAGGGATTCGCCCAGGCACCAGCGGCCATCAGGACCACATCCTTCCAACCTCCATCTGCAGCCGGCTGTTCAATGTCTTCCATCCCACAGACCCTGTGGTGAGATACACCTGACATATGCCTATAATTTTTTTTATGTTTTAATAGATAAGAAGTGAAAGTGATAAATGTTCATCCTCAGCATCTTTTCTTTTAAGGAATTAACTCTTTTCTGTTGTGTTTAGGCTTACAGACTGGAGCCTCTCATCCTTAAGCATTATAGTAACGTTGCACCTGTCCAGATACATTGGTAAAAGCTTAAGTTTTACACTTTTATTATTCTTTACTAGCACAAAGTTGTGACAAATGTCTAATTTTTTAAATCATCAGGTGTAGTGCCTCTAACCCTTCATCCTATGATGAGGTCCGGCCTACCTTCCTCAATCCGGTTAAAGATCCAACTTCAGACACGGAGAGTATTCCCAGCCCGAGTACGTCTCCTGTCTTGGCCCGTAAACACTATGGAGAGTCTATCACCAGCCTGGGAAAGGCCAGCATACTAGGTAAATTTAGCACGTTTTATTGCTTGATTGGTATATTCTTTACTTTGTTCCACTTAATATCATGAAATGAAACAGGTTAGTACAAAGTTCACACAATAAAAAAACTGTTTCTAATTACACATACTCTATAATTTTCTAAAAATGTAATTGTCTTTGGTGAAAATGTCAGATTGTACAAGTGAGCAGTTTGAATTTTTCCCAAACTTTGAGTCAGTGGTGCCATCATGTGGCCATAAAAGGCAGCTGCTGTCGCTTTGCTTTTTATTTATTTATTTATATATATAGATAGATAGATAGATAGATAGATAGATAGATAGATAGATAGATAGATAGATAGATAGATAGATAGATAGATAGATAGATAGATAGATAGATAGATAGATAGATAGATAGATAGATAGATAGATAGATAGATAGATAGATAGATAGATAGATCATCTATCTATCTATCTATCTATCTATCTATCTATCTACCTATCTATCTATCTATCTATATAATTACAGAATACTGTAAATAATACATTTAAAGAAGTTGTCATACCCTCTTTTCACACTTGATCGTGTCATATTCAAAAATTTTATTTTATTAGATTGCTGAGTGACCGACACAAAGAAAGCTGTCATTTTGACAAATATGGAAAATAATGCGTTGTTTTCAAAAAACGTTCTTACAAATGTCAGAATGACATCAAGTTAATGACATTAACTTTTAGAAGTTACAGGCGCTGTAACATTTTCTGTATATCTTAAACTCTTCCTTATTGTCAACCCGCAGGTGCAGCGAGCATAGGAAAGGGTTTAGGAGGCATCCTCTTCTCACGGTTTTCCCGATCAAACAGCCAACCTTCAGTGTCCTTAGGAGTTGAGGGAGGAGCAAACGCTGAGGAAGAAGAGGAGAAGCGCACAGAAAGCCAGTCGTCTTATGGTCTTTCCACAATAACTCGACCAACATCTCCCACTGGTGACGCTTTATGTATGTTCTTTCTGGTACAAAGCATTGACCAAAGTGTGTGTTTGTACACACACATTATATATATATATATATATATATATATATATATATATATATATATATATATATATATATATATATATATATATATATCAACATATCAGTGACATGCAGTGAGGGACTGACTTAATCAAAATCAGATTAACAGGTATAGACCCCTTGCATGTTGTTGTTAAAATATGGTAATTTCACGCATGCGGACAATGCTGGAGGGCAAAAAGACTGTTCTTTTACATGCCATCCATAGCATTGAATCTGAAGACCCAGGATAACATAATTACAGGCTGCTGGAGTAATAGTGAAGTCTGTAACACCAGCTCATTAATGCCTATCTTTCTATCAATAATTATTTGATAGAAATAATTATTATTTTTATGTTTAAGTTTATAAACAAAGAGAAAGAGTATTGTATTTTGTTTTGAACTCATTCATGAAAATATGTTTTAGGAAGCTGAGAAGAAAGAACTGTAATTTATAAGTTCACATAAAAGGTATTTAAGGAGGCCCAGTAGGGTATCTATTAGCAAAGTATGACTGTAACCTTGCGTTTCTCTCTTGCAGTGGAGCTGGAAAGACGCATCGACTTCGAGCTGAGGGAGGGTCTGGTAGAGAGCCGCTATTGGTCAGCTGTGACCTCACACACTGGCTACTGGTGCTCACATGACATTGCACTCTTCTTGCTGACCTTCATATATAATAAGTCAACACCCTCTGCCTCAGCAGAAGACACTCCGGAACCAGACTGAGGCATTTGTTACAACACACAGGCCTGAAGAGGTGTCCTGTAACTGCTGAAGCTTTTGTCATTTCTTGACAAAGCTCAAACTGTGACTGTTTGATTCTCCCCTTGCAACCTTTCAAATACATGAACTATCAACCTGTCCCTTTGTCTTGATTTATGAACCAGCTACATTTGAGAAGCATTGGTAAAAACAACAACGAAAAGAACCTTCATTTTGCGATGTAGCCATTGACGGACCAGGAACCCCTACTGAAGGAAACTCTGCGCCAGTATGATCGCTAACAGTACCATGGAAGAAGAGGCAATTATCCTAAATTATGGAGGTTCCTCATGCGTCAAAAAAGCAATTTTATTTTCATCCCAACATTGAGTCTGTTCAGCTTATTTGGTTGTCTACAAGTTTAATGTTTTATCAGTCCATCTGCTCTGCAGACACTCTGGAGCCTTCTGCTGTATTTTTGGATATATAAAAGGAATGATTGTTACAAAAAGGATTTTTCACAAAACGTTTAGCCAACATGTGAAAAACCCACTGCTTACATGGGAATGAAATGCCTTTTGAAGCCCAAAAATGTTACAAATATACTATTTTCACAAAAAAAAACAAAAAAAAAAAACAATAGGGCATGAACCCTTTAATAATATTGGCAATATGAGTTTTATTCAGTTATTTGCTTTCAACTTTTTAAGATCAGTAATATTTGAAAGGCGCAAACCAAATACAACCTCAGCATATTGTACATTTGTTGTCAAGTATGACTTCTTGGTTTAGTTACACCAAAATAAAACACTTTTAGTTTTTGGGGAAAATTTCTTTCAGCAGTTGCAGCTAAATATTTCCCTTTTAAATTCCATGTTACTTTCAGACGTGTACCTCTTGTGTACCACAGCAGGCCGACTGGAAAGCATATAATTATTTTCTTACGCTTTATGACAGTGGGAAGGTCTTGATGGTGTGGTTTACACAAGTTCTACTGAAAGCAGTCATCGTTGCTCAACTGAAATCAGCACTTCTTTATTTGTATCAATTGATGGAGATCATCCTTATCTTTGCCTATATGTTTTTATTGATGTCCAAATGAAATGAATGGTTCTATGTGTATTTTTATTGGAAAGCAGAAATATTTTCTTAATGATTTTCAGGCGCTTGCAGATATAAACCTGAATCTCATGTGAAAAGTGGGATTCAGACTTGTGGCCAAATAACACTTATGTGTCCAGTGTGTTAGCTGCTGTAGTGAAGCTGCTGCCTGTGGTCCATGGAAAAATGTAATTGACAAGGTGTAAAACTTAAAAGGATGTTTTGTTTAGGTGTTTCGAAGGCAATGCGTATGTCATCGTTTCTCCGCTTTTTGTTACCAATGTGCACTTTTTTTTGTCCTTTGGCCAGATGTTATATTGGTGTTTATTTATGAAAATTTCCAGCTGCAGTCGAATAGTCAAACAAAGTCACTTGAAGTATAATTGCTCGTATGAAACCTAGATTTACTCCAAAAAGATAGAAAAAAAACAAAGCCAGGATCTGTGGTAAGTAATTATTTTCTCAAATAAAAATTTTTTTAAAAATCTGTGATTCTAGGCGCAAACAAGATCCCTCTTTAATTTATGGTCCCAGTAATATTTCTGCAGAAACTAGAATGCTTTTGCACTTTGCATGGTCTCAGATAAATAGCTGATGAATGTTGGAACAATAAAAAAAATAGTGCAGTGTGCCAACACACATCTATGAATTTTTAACACTGCAAAATTAACTCATTTGAAACGACGCAAGCAAAGGATGAAGAAACAAATGACGTTGCATTACAACATGTCAAATTTAATGTATCCATTTTTGTTGTATTGTCATACAGGGTCATCTCATAAAGTCAGAATATCATCAAATAAATGATTTATTTCAGTAATACGCTTCTAGAAGTGAAACTCTTATAATGTGCAGATTAATTGCACAGAGTGAGTTTTTGGTTATGGTTTATATAATAAAAATCTAAAACTTGGTTTCTATTAAAATATCACATGAAGTTTTTGTTTGTTTGCTTGTTTTTCTCTCCTTGCACATAACTCTCCATTGATTTACTTGGCTTCAGAACTCTGACCAGCCAGATATTTTAGCAATAACCTTTTTGTGGTCTCCTCTTTGGAGAGAGTGTCTATTATTACCACCCGGAAAACCTTCAAGTCAGCACAACCTGATCATGTAGACCATATTATTGTAAAAGAAAAAAACAATTTTTGTTGTAAGTGTTCTTTGAAATTGAATTTTGGATTTTCACTAGTTCTAAGCCGTAACAATCAAAACGAACAGAGATACTATCGGACATACAGCGCACTCTGTTTGAGGGGATTAAACTTTTTGAATCGCATTACTGAAGCAAATTGCTTATTGATTTTGTTCTAACTGCGATTCATGTGTAGTAATAAAGGAGCTTGTTTGAGTTTGATGTTAAACAGCTGAACTGCACCACCTTAAGTCTGATTCTTTGTGCTCTGCTGCTGAGTGGAATCAGTTTGTTGTAAGTGTAAAATGACTGTTACATTTGCAAAGGCCAATTTGCTTAAACCATTCTGCCTTGAAGAGCTGACATGATGGCAAGATTGGTGCTTTGCCTGGGGGCAAATAAGGCATAGTAATCTGAGATTGTTTATTGGTTTTATCCGTTGTAAATCTTACAATCATCGCTAAGAATTGCACAAAATCTTTACTAAAAATTCCCGTTTGTTTTATTTTTTGCTTTTCTTTTTGCAGAAACACTGGCGGGAAGCTAATTTCAAGCCTGGCCTCGTCTCTCATTCATGCAGTGACAAATTCAATCTGCACTGTAATATCAACAAAACCTCCACCAGGCGGAGCTGCAACTGTGTAGTTTGACAATATTTCATTAAAATATGTCCAAACTGCCACATTTCAGTCTTTCAGTTCAAGCCCAGATCTCGTCACTCTGCTTGCTCAGAAGCTTGCGAGCTCACAGGAAAGCATTTGGGAAAATATTTTGCGAAACACACATTTTGGCTGACTCTACGTCCAGTTAATGTGCAGCGTTTTTGACTGATGACAGTATACTTTTCCTATTAAAGGCATTTGAGGAATTGTCCGCTGTTTGTAGAATTTCCACTTTGGGTTGGGTGCCAGATTGAAGCCATCGATTATGATCCAGCTCAGATGCTTGTTTTGTAAAACAGAAGCAGCTTCATACAGAAGTTGCGTATGTTCTACAAAGCTTAAGTACGAGGATAAGTGAAATAAACGTTTGAATTAGGAGGAGGTACAAATTAGATGTTATTCTTGTTTGAACTTTGAGTAGATGTCTTGGGGGGATTGTCTGCCCTTAGAGCTGTGCAATAACCCATGCCTGTAATAGATTCAAACTGCCATCCAAAGCACTGTATTTATTTCTTTTTATTAAATCATTTCCTTTTCTCATTTGTTCCTGTTTTGTACATTATTAAAGGGAGGACAATACTGGTCCATCTCCTGTGCAGGAGCATGCAGATCCCCTCCTCACTCATTTTTAGACTCCATTCAGTAGACAATGGGTGTGTTTGTTCATCAGCGACACAGACCGGATTCTTTGCTCAACACCCCCTGAACAGTCTTTAACTCTTAGTTGATGAATAGGACACATTGTTATGCGCCAGCATTGATGGCTTCCACATGACCACATGCATTTTATTTTAGCGTATATTTTCTATTGTATGCCCCATAGTGACAAATAGGATCAGCTGTGTCATACATAATGAAAGACACCATGGTTTCTCTAACCAGCAGAGGTCAGTGTAGCACTGGTAATGTTGAAACAAAGACACAATGACCATCTGTTCAGTGCACAGGGTGTCATCCTGTGTCTGCTTAATGAGCCATTTTAACAGATGTTCCCGTAACCGTATTATTGATCGGTGATGCCTGGACATGTAGACTGGGCATGTGTGGCAATAAAGCAACACAGTAGTTTATGTGAATGATCAAACTTATGTCTCTTTCAACTTTCTGCCTCTTCTTTGTGTGCCTCACCCCCTCCGTCCTCGTCCACATCAGCAGCAGCTGAGCCAAGTTCTTATCTGACTCTTCTGCTTTGCATCGGACTGAACTGTTTACTCTGCAATTAAAACACGGCCTATAAAAGGCAACGGGGTCTGCTGCCAGATCCTGACAGGGGGGGGGGGGGGGGGGTTGTAGCAGCAGGGAGATGGGTTATAAATCGCTTTGATGCAGACCTGGGGTCTGAAGGCCCAGATTCCTTCGCTGGAGGACGGGTGGAGAGTGAGTTCACCAGGAGACCAGGCCAAAAACTCTCATGATTCATGAGATGTTGCCGCTGATCGTTTGGAGAGCGTGCGCCAGAGTGTGTATTGTGGTCCTGCTTCAGGGAGGCTCATGACGTTTTTTTTTCCCCCTCAACCGCCCGACGTGTGATTTGTGCAGTCGCTCATTGTTGCGTAAACTGTTATCTTTCATCTACGACAGTGAAACAAGGAGCCTCAGACTGTATTGTCATCTGTTTCTTGTGGTTCAGACTAACTCTGTCATTTGAAAGAGCTACTTCAATCAAATGTATACTAAGAAAAATACATTTGAAAAGGTTTAATACTCTGTTAACTTTTAAACACCGTTTCTCATTGCAGTCACAAATGTCAATGCATTTTATTGAGATGTAATGCATAATTGTTAGAAAGTTTGGAAGGATTTGAAGAATATGAATGGTTTTTAAAAGGTCAAAATCTGACCTTTATTAAAAAAGCGACAAGAAATCCCATTTGAGTTTTTCCACAAGTCATGTACAGGACTAAGTAAGTGTGCAGAAGAATAGACCGATGAGACCATAATGGACATTTTTAGATATGACTGAAGTAGAACTGTAAAACACACTGTCTTCATTAAAAGTGTAAGTATCATGCTGCAGGGAGGCTTTTTCTTTTGCAGGATGCTCAAAGGAGCGAGGAAAACCTCCCCCAAAAACAAACAAACAAAAAAAACTGCTGGAGTACAAAATGCTGGGGTGGATATTTATTTTACAGCAGGACAACAACCTGACAAAATGCCAGAGCTACATTAGAATGGTTTGTGTCAGGACGGCCCAGTCAAAGGTTGTATCTTAATCTAATTGAGAATCTTTGACAAGACTTAAAAATTTGCTGAGCTGGAGGTATTTTCAAAAAATTACAATCTGTTGTAATCTGGGTGTGCTAAGCTGCTGCATCTATTGCAGCCATGATTGAAATAAAATGTGGTTCTGCACTGCTTAAGTCTGAAAGACAAATCATTTTCTTTCCACTTTGCAGTTTAAAATTCCAGAAAATGCAATGCAGTTTGGCAAATTTATAACAGAAATTCATGTGTAACTTGAACTTCAAGTGTAACAGCAGCAAAGTGACAGGAAGAGGAGGCATGTAGGTTCACTCAAAGAAAATGACAAAAATGTATATTTTTTTAAAAATGAACAATATACTGTACAATAATGGCAAAATCAAACTATAAAATACTATGCAGTAATCAAAAATGGTATATTCTGATCCAAGAAATGTGAAACTGAGTAGGACAATGGGAAAGAAAATGTTCAAAAACGTGTGAATATTTGTACATTTAAAAACAAAAGACTATGACATTTGAACTTAAATTGTGCAAACAACAGAGAGAAGAAATGGTACTTAAAATTAGAATAGCTGCACAAACAGCTCCAGGAGAAGTCTTAGGAGTCATATTATATTAGATGTTATTTCTGAGCTACAGAGTTATTCAAAAACTCATGTAGTGGAGGGAGATTTAACACTTAAAAATCTTCTGATGTTCTACATAAAAAAAAAATAAGAATTTAAGATATGGAAGTGTTTTAAGATAAACTCTCCTGTCATTCTGTGCGGTTATTTAAATCTATGAACTCCTGGTCCCTGGCTACTGATGCAAGGCTCAGCTGCATTGTTGCCATATAAGGGCAGCTTGAAATCTTTCCTGTCTCCATTAACCCTGCAAGCTGCTGAACATGCTGGAGGCTTTCAGTTCAATTTAAATCTGATTTAAGATATTCAACATTGTTCTTTACCCAGATGTTTACGTTTAAGTTAGCTTTATTCAGCTTTTTATTTTCTTCTCGGACAAAACAGTTTTATGACGATAAGGGTTAATGGCATGAATGACTGGGTATTTTACTACACATAAAAGGAAGTCTGTCTTGTATAGTTAGAATTTACTTTACGGGACATTTTTAAATGTCTCTTCTTCCATCCATTAAAAAAAATGAGAGCAAAATGTATTTATTTATTTATTTTTTGTTCTGATTTTTTTCTGATGAGCAACATAATCAGAAGTTACTGCGACTGCAAAATCCCTCAAAAAGCTCAACACACACAGAATTAAATATGTCAGATATTTATTTACTTCAAAATGATGGCAACATCAAACTTCTGATCTAACACAAACGATGAGTTTTCATGCATAAACCAAATACACTTAATTTCTAAAAAAAAAAAAAAAAAAAAAGGATTTGCACTGACATTTGTGTCAGTGCAAATCCTCATCCCCCACAAGTTACAGATAAGGTTTATATGAAAAGCCATGTCATTGCAGACTAACACCTCTAATTAGGAATCGTGCTGCATTTCATTACTTTTCATGACTTCTTTTAAATGCAGGGGAGAACTGTGAATATTAAACATTATCAGTGCCCCCCTTTTTGGACAGTCCTGACAAAATCTTCTAGATGCGCCTTTGTATATTAAGCAAAACGCACTAACTGGGGGAAGATGCTCGGCCCAGTGATAGTTGAGTCCAGCAGTGGACTCTCCTGGTTAGAAAGGAAAAGTGGGATTGGGGCGGTGACGTTATCCCTGCTGGAAAAGAGGGAGGGAGGAAAAAAAAAGAGAGGGAGGGCTGGACTCCATTAATGCGAAGCCTGCCGCCTGGAAAAGTGTTTGGGATACTTCACTTCTTCGGCGAGTTCTTCGGGGATTTTTTTTTCTCTTTTTAGCACCCAGTCAAAAACATATACATGATTTAAAGAAGGGGGGCCTGTTGTGTGCCGTGTAGTCGACTCTTTTGGTGTTTTTTCCCCCCCGTCTTTTTGAAGGTGAGTGTGCACATTTAAACGCTCGTCCGCGTTCGCCGCTCGGAAATATGAAGACCTCTTTCCCCCGCGCTTGGCTTTTTTTTTTTTTTCCACTAAAACCCGACTTTTTAAAATTTCCCCGTGAGGTTCGAGGGGTTGTTTTTGTGTTCTCCGGCACTCTCAGTTGAACTTACTTCTTCAGGGACCGACTCAGTGGTTGAATGTTGCAGGCAAACAGCAGCCGGGGAGTCGCTGTGCTTACATAATGAACTCCTATTGGTAAGCCAGCCTTTACCGTTAGTTTTAACAGGTGAGGCCACACGTTGACGTGGATAACAGCTGCCAAAGGTCTCTGTTGAAGCTGCTTTCGCGGGAAGATGGCCTTTGTGTGCCGTGTTTTTATTGACTGGGAGAGCCTCGGGTAATAGAGTGACGTGCACAGAGGCGATGGTAACTTTTTGGCGGTCACTTTGTTCAACAGGGCATGTTTTAGAAACGGGCACCATGGGATTCTAGCCATTCCTTCTGTACTAGATGAACGCTTTACTTCACATTTCTCAATGCTCAGTGAGTTATTGAGCATTGAGAAATGTTGAAAACTATAGTGGCTGTGAAGCAGAGCTGGAGAAACTGGGCTACACTGTAGTTTTTTTTAATTTTTATTATTATTATTTAACCGAAAGTGGCAGTTCAGGTAGGGAGAGATGTGAACACATGACTCATACTACATTATTTCTTGTTTTTATCCATAATATCATATTTTCTGTATCTTTTTCTTTCTGTATGTCATGTTCTTTTTCAACATTACCTGATACGAGTGAGGAGATGTTAAAGCTTCCAAATAAATTAGTCCTTCGCTTGAAACATTTAGAAAAATGCTGCCTTACATTTTGGGCTAAGCTGTAGATTTCTTAAGGTTCATTAACAAGTCCGATAACTGTCTAATCACTGTGACATAACACAAAGACCAACTTTACATGTCTAGTTTTCAAAATGAGAAAGATAACAAAACATGTAAGTCCAATAAGGTAGATATGTGTTGAACTTCACAAGTCAGGAGCTTGTTGCTAAAAACTGGCTACCTTACTAAGCTTGCCTATATCAACAGTCGGAGCAATTTAAAAATGTATTTTACTGGACGGTGACAAACAAGGCTGAACAAAGACCTAGTTTATCTTGCCATCATATAGTGAGGTAATTATGCAATTTCCAAATCCGTCAATTGCAGCAAAGCTTGGCATCTTGAGGTCAACGAGTCTCTGTACACACATTAGGTGTGGTCAGCTTGTCAGTTAGTTTGGCAGCGATGCCAGCTTACAAACATTTTTTCTGTCTCACTATCACAGGCATAAACATAGAGTTTGGTAAACTCTTGGGAATTCAGCAGAAACTTTTTGCTTATAGAACAAACAGCCCGGGGGCTGGAGAGTTTGGTTGAAAACCCGCTATGACACCAGGATTATATTTCCTGTGTGCTCCAAAAGATTTCCAGAGCAACAGAAGACATGAGGAGAACAAAAAGCAGCAGCAAAGATTGCTGGTGCAGTTGTAGCTGTGTTAATCCTTGATGAAAGATCAGATGCGATAGATATCAATAAGAAAATGTAACTGACGTTGCAGGGCTTCTTCGAAATATCAAACCAGGATCAATTTTTTTTTCTTTCCAAGACTTCAAAGGCGTGCTGTATGTTTTGGCTGTGTTGTTTCACCACCTATTTTTGGTTCTTCTCTGGCAGGATGGCACTGGATGGGATCCGGATGCCCGATGGCTGCTATGCCGACGGTACATGGGAGCTGAAGATGCATGTCACCGACCTCCACAGGGACGTGTCTCTGAGAGTCACTGGGGAAATCCACATTGGTGGAGTTATGCTCAAACTTGTGGAGAAGCTAGGTACATGCACATTTTGTTATCTCTTTGCAGAAAATTGCACCGTGTCTGTGTCATGTGATGTGTGCATAATTACCTGACTGATTTTGAGTACTTTCCATGAGTATCTTCAAATAGCAGTTTCATTCCATTTGTAATAGAGTAGCTCCGAAAAACCTATTCCTTGTTCTGCCTTGCTGTGTGAGAGAGTTCTGTGCATTTCTGAAGCTGGCTTGTGTTATCTCTTCACATTTGTTGGGTAGTAAATGTCTCATTCAAAGGAGGCACCACTCCGAGAAACTAAATTCCATGAAAATTCCAAAAGTACAAAATGTTTCAGAAAACAAGAGTCGGCAGCTGACGTTCTGCATCATCCTGATGACAGGAAGCTTGAGAGAATAGCTTCTGTTGAGATCTGGAGAGGAAAATGTAAAATGTTGATTGTATGTTTTGGGGTTTTTGTGAACAATGTCAAGGCTCAAATTACCATTCCTTTCTTTTTGATTAAAAACTCCCCAAAGCTCTATTGTTTTTCCCAGGAAGGTTTTCTACCAAATCAAAGTTCTGGGACTGTTTTGGTGAAGGTTTTAAATGACAGTAGTGCATATAACACATCCAAGCTAGTTTCTCTGGAACTTGATGCATAGCTGAATGTAACATACTGGTTAATAGACTGGAAATGTCTATTTCCAGTCTGGGCTTTTTTGGTACTTTTCTAAACTGGTTCAGGTCTTATTTGGCAGACCAGGACTACTGTGTATAATTTGGGTCTCCGTAAGGCTCCATTCTTGGGATACTTTTTTAAATTCAGTATCTGTTGCTCAGATTATAGTACTGCATGTATGCTGATGACATGAAACTTTGTATTTCTATGTCTCCTCAGTCAATAACGAAGGGAGGGCTCAGAATTTACATTTTTGGGGAGGATTAAAGGGTCCAGAAATCCATGGTTCGAGGCCAGATAGAAGAACTTGACTTGAGTCAAAAAGCTTTTTGTAAAAGAAAAGATTATTGCTTTTGTACTTCTCTGAATAGTTTAAAGCCTGAATATATTTCAGAGTTTCTTGACTGGTAAGAACCTTCTCAATTTCTCACTATCAGACTGATTACTCAATGTTCCACTTAGAAGTAAACAAGAGAAACCAACTCCCTCAAATGCAGAGTTGTCCTAAAACTGGACTGCAAACTTTAGTGTTTACTGTTTCTATAAAGGTAAATTGTTCCTTATATTAGTTACCATTTCTTAGACTTTTTTTGTTTTCAAGGTATATTTCACCTGTTTTTCTTCCTGTGTTGCTTCTATTTTTGTTTTTAATTCTGTTATTTCTCATTTCCATTATTTTCTTGCAAAGAACAATAATTGGAGCTACATGAATGAACTTGTCTTTCCTTGCTGTGTATTATGCCTAAGCAGCTAGACGCATATTGAAGCCATGCGTGACGCCCCTTCCTTCTCTTTAGCATGCACAATTCTGTAAGCAGCGATATGTTCTGGAGAAGTTTGGGTGCCCGTAAGCATAAGAGCCCTCTGTTCCACCCACTTGAACACTGGCTCATTTCATTCAGCCTGGAGAAAAGGTCAGCAGCGGTGGCAGCGCGATTTAGGAGTGACAGCTTGTTGTGTGTTGATGGTGCTCAGATACTCAGAATTCCTCCAGCGCTCCAAGGTTTTTATTCCCTGCCTTTGCGTCCCGTTTTTAGCTGTCCTGTTGGCGCTCCACATAATTGAGGTCTTTGTTCTCTGTGGTCGTCTGAGTTCGGATGCATCTATGCTCAGTGAAGTGCAGTGTTGGATGCAATTCCTGTCATCCCACACATGACAAAGACCCGCCCTTATCCATTATTGTTGTGTTGATGTACTTGGAACATTTTCTTTGTTGGACAGCCTCCCTATGGCTCCTTTATACTTTAGCTAGTCTTGGCATTGCCACATTTAGAAATGCATGATCTATTTGACAGGCATGGTTACAATTTTACTTTAAAAGGTAATGAAGCAGAATATGTTTATGGATTTTTGCTTAGACCACTCATTCATTTCAGAGTTCCTGTATTTCCATTGGCATCGATAACTATTTTGTTGCTCTATGTGCAATTCATATTCATCTGTCTGAAGTATGATTGAATTCGAGAGACTCCTCTTCACTGAGTAGCAGAACAATGTGCTGCTGTTAAATTTCTCTCCAAGTGCTGGAGAATATTTGTGCAACTGACACTTCGGAATGGAAATATTTCTGCTGCCCTGAGTCATAAGATTGTCATGAACTGTAATCATTAGTCCAACTAAAATATGGATTTAACACAAGGGAGCACATTGCTGGTTAGTGTATACAGATCATACAGCACATTTTTATTCTTAAAACAGGGAGTAGATATATGTATTTTTGACATTTTTTGATCGTTACAAGGTTAGAAGGTTTTCTGTATTAAGACACTGGAGCTAAAGAGCTAATAGAGCTGGCCAAATCGTAAGGCTAAGAAGTGCATATCCATATATTTTGAATTTCTATGTAAAAGCTTGACACACTGAAATAAAGTAGAACCTGGGCTGCTGAGACTAGGATGAAGAGAATAGCAGATGTTAATTTGACATTTTAGATTGAAGTTATTGTTTTTCTAGCTGGTGCATTTGGTAATGTTGACATATTACCAAAAAGACAAGTCTGTTTGGAATATTTAGATCGGTTCATCATATTGAAAAAAAAAAAAAGACCTTTTTTTAAAATTTTCAGAATCAAATCAAATCAAATTTTATTTGTATAGCACATTTCATCTACAAGGCATTTCAAAGTGCTTTACATCATAAACACAATACACAAAGTCATGCAACATAGAATAAAGTACCAAGTGTTTTTTTTTTTGTCACGGAATTTAAGCGCCTGTTACTGCCGGACTCCGCCGTCCGTTCAAACACTCACAACAGGAAAAAAAATTAAAAAATTGCATACATATCCACAAATCCATACATATTACATTTCAAATACAATTCTAAACAGAATTCTAAACATAATAAAATGTTTTCTTCCAATCTACTTTGAGTGGTGATTCTGGGTCATTTTGTTGCTCCAATCGCTAACATTTGCCTGAAACGCACCAGTTCCACGTTCGTCCACAGCCATTGCTAAAACTACAGGCAGGCTACAATTCTAAAACAGCACAGAAAATCAGTGTTATCATTCAACCTTTTCCTTCTGTTTGCTGATTGGCTCGGTCAAAAATTGACCAGATACAATCAGAGTCGAGGGGAGTAAAGTGGAATTGTGCAGGAAGGCAATAGCCAAGCAACAGCTTTTTTTTTTTTTTTTTTTTACCTGTTAATGAGCATGTGCTTTATTAAAAGGCAAGTGTTTGAAGGACTAATGTTGACACTTTTCTAAAAGTGCTCCAGTCTAAATTAATTTAACTTTATCACACATAATAGTCACTGGTGAGTGCCAGTCAACCTAAAAATTGTCAGATTTTAGTTGCATCTGTCCTACGAACAGAAACTTTTTCAGGCTCTATTGCATCTTCTAACTACTACTCGTTCTATTCAGATGCCAGAGCTGTAAGTTATGTCATTATAAGAGTGTTGCATTATACTTCTTAATGTGGCATTATATATATGTTTATTTTTCTCTTCTGCCAGAGCCACCACTTCTGATTATGCTACTAATTAATGATGTTAGAGTACAACACTTATGTCAGCTTCACACAAGATCCTTGCATGACTTTTAGTGCATCTCAGACATATTTTCTGAGATATAAAAAATAACATTTTATTTAGGACTTTCTTTCTTAAGAAAGAAAATTCTCAAGAACTTTCTTCCTTAAAAGTTTGTTTCTTTAAGAAATAAGCTTTCCATTCAGGAAGATTTCTGGTGATCAGCCATGTAGTTGGAGAAACCCCAGTGTGACCAGTTTAAAACAAAACTCCTCATGTCTTTTCCTGTTACTAGTAACCAGACTGTTCCTCTGAGGTCTCAGTGGTCTTATTTACTGCACATTAGTCTCTAAGCACTCGTTAGCATGTTAGCTGGACTTCTGATAAGCTATTATACTAGCATAGGATGCTTTAGAATCCTTTGTTGAACAGTCTAACATAAAATAACATCCTAGGTTTAATGATTAATATCTTGTTTCACTCTGTTAAGATTTCTGGTTAATTTGTTTTTGGTGGTTGACATTTTGAGTATATGAACTTGTTTTGGGTACAGGTAAGAGCAGTATTCCCTTTCATTGTGGTATATTTTTGGGATTATGAGATTTCATTAATAGGCTTACACAGGCATGTGTTCCCACAAGTGAGTGTGGTCGTCTGGTTCGGTGGGCGTGTCTCCTCCACATGCATGCTCCTGCTATCATTCGACCCTTCTTGTGAGCTGTAGGCTCAGATGGCCTTGGATAATGGATTAAATAGACCTATGCCAGGAAGCTACTTAGGTATTGATCACAAAGACGGACCCTGCTTCCACTTTCCCCCTGAAAACCTGCAGGAGAGCCGTATTTAAAAGGCCGCTGATTAACCGCCTTTTGGTCCTGGAGTCTGGTAATCCTTTCATCTGTTCGTTGCTTTCTTTCAATTTGTTCACGTTTTCTTAAAGTACAACAATCTGTTTAGATGACAGCTTTTCTATTTAGTAGGGAACATATTGTACAGATTGTTGTGAGCCGCATGAGATTCAGTTTAAAGCAATTGTTTTTTGAGTTGGATGGTTTTTAGCTTTGATAATCTGGGTAGCAGTGTGTGCTTCTCACATCCAAACTTGGATGCGAGTGCTTTTGAAAAAAATAAAAAATAGAAACTTAAGTAACACTTCCATTTTTTTGATTATCAAACAATCTTTAGTTTATTAAAAGAAAGCTTGCCCAAACCTAACTTGTTTGAGGTACTAAAGCCACATTAGCAGCATTAAATTAAATCTCCCATTTGCACTGCAGCGGATTTAACTCATGCAGGGCTGGTCCAAGGCTGCATGTGGCCTTGATCAAATTTTGACTTAGGGCCCCTTGAGTCTCAGCACCTCTAACAGCTTCCGTGTTAGATT